GTGCTGTTCTCAATTTTAGTAATGCATTTCTATGGTTAATGTTTTGTAGTGTCAAATACAGCTCAAAAGAGTATTTAAATTTGATTTTTGCAAATGTTCTAAGTTTACTATTATCTTTTGAGATTTGTGACTTCCACTGGTTTACATATTTTTTTGCTTTATATTTGCTTCAATGTTATTTATAATCTTATGAATGTTTCTTTTTGGAATACCTGTTGTAAAATTTATTAATGATGTGTAATAATTATCTTTTAATATTTTATTTACTGATGATAACCATGTATGTTGCTGTGATTTTCGTTGTTCATAGTATGCTTGTTTTGTAAGGTTATTCTCTGGCATATCTTTTAGTCTTAACCAGTATTTTATTAGCATTTTTTTAATTTCTATTAATAGTGGTAGTTTGCATATTTCGCTCCTACATGCTGCGTTGCTTGTATATCTGTTTAAACAAAGTGTTCTCTTACAAAATTTTAGGTGCGTTTTTTTCAATTGGAAATTTCTCCCATTTTCCAAAATCCAAAATGTCTGATCCCCAGACATCTGCACCATAGAGTAAAATGGGTTTAATGTTTGAATGAAATAATTTCAGAAAGAGTTTGATGTCAGTGTTCCCTTCCAATGTTTTGTTCAGTATAAACATAGCTTTGCATGCTTTCTCTGCTAATGTTTTCTTCGCTTCTATAAAATTTCCAGATGATGAGATTATTATCCCAAGATAAGTATAACTTGTCACACAGCTAATAAACGTATTTTTGTAATAGAAGTATTCAGATGTTTTTAATGATTTATTAAGATTTTTGTTTTAGATACATTTATTTCTAGGTTCAATTCAGAACAATACGTCTCAAAATATTTATTAAATTTTGCAAACCGGGTGCTGTCTGAGACATAAGAACTAAATCATCTGCTTATAATAATGATGATACAGTTTTATCATTCAGTATGGCTGGATTGAAAAGCGTTGGACTCATAACACAGCCCTGTTTTACTCCTTTTTTAATTTCGAACATACGAGTGATTTTGTGCCCTGATTTTATGGTTGCGTATGTCTGGAGATACATGTTTTTTATAACTAAATATAGTTTATCATTAATACCAGCTTTTAAAAGTTTATAAAATAGCCTATTTCTCCATACATTATCAAAAGCTTTTTGAAAATCTACAAAGCAACAATAGAATTTTTTATTCTTTTTAAGATATTTTTCAATTATTGTTTTAAGTACAAATATTTGGTCTGTTGTGCGATGATTTTTTCTGAAACCTGTGTCATGAATTTGTTTTTGCGTATCTGTTGACCGACTTAATTACTATATTAGTTGATTATTAGCTGAATTGCTGTGTTATGTCTGTCATCGTTTAGGCCTATTTGAAGTTTTGGACGGAACTTGGCTCAGTGATTTGGAACTAATTACGAGATATCCGTCGCGATTCTGACAGTTGGTATCCATAGTTATTAATGTAGTGAACGATTAATCAAAAGATATGACGTATTCAGTACTTAGTATGATTGGCTTTATGATTGAAGATTACGCCCTAGAGTCTTTTTACTGCATTGTAATTGGTTAGAGTTGTGAAAATGAATAAAGAGAGTTTGAGTTGGTCTTGGGGAGCACAGCACGATAGACGCAATAGAGAGGCAGTCCTGGAGAGTCGAGAGAGTCCTGGAGAGCCTTGGGGCGAGCCTTGACGCAGTCTAAGAGAGTCTTGGGTCAGCCTTGCCAGAGTCTTGGGGATTTTTTTTTCCAGGGCGCCGTGTCTTATAGAGTGCTCGATTGACCGACTAAGACGAGAGCTGAAACGTATTTCGTTGTGTGTGTCTTACTTGACTGTAAAGTTAAAGTGACTTTCCCGATCCCGTACCTCAAGGGGACGAGATAGAGAGACGAGACGAGATTCCCCCTGACAAGTGTGGAGACCCCGAGAGTAAGAGAATTTACCCCTGATACCTGCTTGATTATTGTTGATAATTTTGTTGTCCTCTAAGTATTGTGTAAGTCTTCAGTTTATGATGGAGCAGAACGCTTTGCCGATACTGCTGGAGACAGAAATTCCCCTGTAATTATTCGGATCATGACTGTCACCTTTCTTATATAGGTGTGTTATGATGCTGGTATTCCACATGTCTGGAAATATACCTGCATTTAGTATTAAATTGAATAATTTTGTTAGTGACTTAGTTAAATAATTTGAGCCATGTTTCAATAATTCAGGACATATATCATCATAACCAGCAGATTTGTTAGATTTAAGACAGTTTATTGATAGTTTAGTTTCTTCTTCTGTTATGTTTTTATTTATATTAAGGTCATGTGAGATATTTTTTTTCTAGATTTGTTATTTTAGTATGTTTGTTGTTGTCACTATTCTGAGTGGTATTTTCATTTAAAATTTTGTAGTATTGTAACCATTTCTCAGGTGATATTGGGTTGCTGCTATCTTTCTTTGAATCTTTCATAAATTTTGTTCCTCTCTTTTTTTCTTTTTAATAAATCGTTTGATTTTTTTCTTTTTACTGTAATTTGTCTCACGAAGGTTGTTATCATATGGAAACTTGCTCAGCAACTTAGCTGTTTTTATGAGATCATTTTTTATTGTTTGACATTCTTTATCAAACCACTTTTTCTTTCTTTTCTTTGACTGTGGTTTACGTGTGTTTAATATTGGTGTTGGTGAAGTATCTATTATTGAGTTAAATGCTTTAACTGCTTCATTAACCCCATCATTATTTTTTTCATATTTTCTCTCTAGAAATAAATTATTTTTGTTGTTGTTGTACCATGTCTGAGGCTAATGTATCTTGATATGTGAAGGTGTACAATAGATTCCATTTCCATGTTTTGGGTAGACAGTATAATTGTTCGTTGTTTGTGTCATTTTCTAATATGATAAATGTTCTGGTAGTTTAAGAAGACAAGAAATTTGGCAATGGTCCGAATAAAAGGTAAAATCATGAACTCTGAAATATTCAAAATATTGTAATGATTATTACACTGGAAGGGATTGAGAATAAAAGTAATATTAATAAATAAAGCTACATAACAGCGATGAAGGTTTTCGAAACTATAAGCCTATTACGCAATTTGCACCGATGATGCAATGATTTTCAACTTTATCAAGAATGCTTTGGCGTATACGTTTTAAATAAGCTGTCATAGCCATACATTGAATGAATCATACCAAACTACTGCAAACAGTGCTTACAATATTCCATTTATGCACTTCTCTTGTGTCAAAACTTAAATATTGCATTAGATTAATGTACCAGCCTACAACTGTGTATGAGATATTATAGTTATGCTATAATGTATGATACAGTTTTTGTGATTTGGACCATTTCATATAATCATTTAATTTATTGTTACGGGTTAAACAGTCAGTGATCAAGTGGGGTGACGTAGTTGTTTTGCCGAAAGTATCGACACATAAACCTACTATAATAACAATAGACTTTTTCGTAGAATTGTCTTTCTCTGTATCTCGCTCTGAATTCGGCGTAATTATTGTCGCGTTCAATTACACACAAGGGGAGTAGCTTGGGACTGTATCCTGTCCGGAAACAGGTTTATCCAGACTTACATCATAAGGACATGGCCTGTATAGTGAACCCACCTCAAGATGACATAGAACCGAACATCTCCGTAAGACTTGTATGATTGTCACACCATTTATGTCACTATTATGTCCAAAGTAAAGTATCCCTATTTAAAAAGAATGTGCAATGTAAAACATGTTGGACAGCCAAATGTTCGGGTTAAGGACTGATAACAACGTTGTAAAATCTGAATTTTGACATTTAAGAATATTCAATCTATATTTATTTCATACAGAATCCACACCATTTCGGTTCGTACTAGTCTAGTATTATTTGGACAGTCGTGTTCATGTCACATCTAATATCCGGGGTCGTGTCACTTTTGATAGCCCTCAGGCTGTCAATTATATGAGGACATATCCAGGGGCGGGACACTAGACCTAATACTGTGTAGATGGGTGACATTGAGCCTTAAAAATGTGAGCATTTTTATAACTATGTATTCAAATATCACTAACCATATTTATATCGAAGTACAGTCTTTGAAACCATTTATACAAAATAAAAAACAGCACGTAGTCACTACATAGGGCGCAAACTGTTTACATACACCTAAATCAATTACATGCTGGTGAATCAATCGAATGAACTAACCCAAATACATGCTGGTGAATCAATCGAATGAACTAACCCAATTACATGCTGGTGAATCAATCAAATGAACTAACCCAATTACATGCTGGTGTATCAATCAAATGAACTAACCAACTTACATGCTGGTGAATCAATCAAATGAACTAACCCAATTAC